TGTGACATGAGCGTTCACACTGCAGTCACTTTGAAAACATCAGATATATATCTGATTTAAAACCACATACTGAAACGGCCTGGGTCGGATTAGAAAAAATCGGATTTGTCGCGTTCAGACTGTCATAAAAACATCAGATATGAGTCAGATGGGTCAAAAAAATCAGATTTGGGTCGGATTTGCCTGCAGTGTGAACGTAGCCTTAGAATTATGGCTTTTTTCCCTCAAAATTATAGTCAAATTTCTAAATTCAATGTATTAATTAAAAGCAGATTAAAAACTCAGCAGATTTCTATGGAAGAGCAGAAGGACAAATCTGATGGGGTTTTCTTTTAACAAAATAAAAACACTACAAACTGAAATAATAAGTTCCATTTTGAGGGCAGCTAATATATCTGGGACTAAATTTAATCCAACAGAAATGAAGTTATTTAATGCTGTAAGAAACTCTGTTCCTTTAACTAGTTTCATATTAACCATAATCCAGAAAGCAGCAGCAGATTATGAGTGTGATTAACTCATTAAACGGTGCTCCTCTCTTTCATTTGAAGCCTCGACAGGATCAAATATCAAGAACTGTGAGTGGTGAGCCACGTTACACAGGGTGTGTATGAAACATGATTTTCTGTCACACAAACATCACTCCAGACAATGTCCCGGTGTGTTTGTCTCCCCGTCAGAACACAGCCTTCATTACAGTTCTGCTGCAGATTATCAAGGCCCAGTTTATTGCCTCTTATATTACAGTTATTATTAATAAATCAAGCGGGCCGTGAAGGAGTGAGGGATTGTGTGTGTGTGTGTGTGTGTGTGTGTGAGGTTGTCGACCTGGTAGTGGTAATTGCTGGTGTAACAGCGCGTGCAGCCCTGCGGTGGCCTCGTAAGCGACCCGCTTTATTAGATCGGCCGATATCGATCGTCGCCGCGCCACGGTGACTAATCTCTCCAGGCTGAGGAGGAGGAGGAGGAGGAGGAGGAGGAGGAGGAGGATGAAGATGAGAGGGAGAGCTCGGATCGATGAGCCTGGATTCAATCATGTCTGGAAACAAAGAAGGTAATTTATTGTAATCACAGACACTAAATGGAAAACGTGATAAGAACGCACTCGTGAGGCCCACCAGGGGAACTACAGCGTGATGATGATGATGATGATGATGATGATTGACCTTCAGCTCACTCAGAGCACAAATCCACAGAAACCTCTTTTCCACATTATTTCTGAACAAACTGGATAGTTTGATTTATAAATGATTGTTTCAGCAGGACAACATGTTTTATTTATAGCAGCACAAAACTTTAATCTATTAAACACTTTTCTTCATCTCATCTTGTTATCAGACATGTTGCAAACTCACAAGATTAAAGAAATGTCCTGGTCAGAAGTTGGTGTGGATGGCAATTAGGGCTAAAAATATAATAACTACACCTTATTTAGCCTAATAAATGCTTAGTTAACCTTGAAAACATCATTAATTATCATCATCAAGCATGGATGAAAGAGTGTGTTGTTTTGTAATTAGCCTTTATGGGTAAAGAATTAACAACTGTGTTAATTTATTGCTTATTAAGTATAAATCATCCTTAATTAATGATGTTTTAAGGTTAAATAAGCACTTATTAATGATTAAAGCTTAATAAAGTGTAGTTATAAAGTGCTACTGAAGAAATAATCTACGAGCAACAGCTGACGTGCAGACGTTATTCTTCCTCTGGCATCAGGCGCGGGAGTTGCGCTCCTCTTCCTCGTTCTCTAACAGGTAGGCCGGTTTATATCGCTTCACCCCCCTGTCGTCCACCACCTGCAGGGCTTTGTTCCTCTGAGTGTTGTCCATGCTGCCGAGTGACGTGTACCTGCAGGACGCGACAGAAACAAAAACAACAACACTGAAACAATCTGAAACGGTGTCCTGAGTGGACTTCAAAGACAGGATGAGCTCACCCTTTATCATACAGGATGCAGTAGGGAACGTATAACGTCCTCAAGAAGGACCAGATGTCATGGTAGCTCCAGTCCTGAGGAGTGCAGGAAGGTTACTTACAGCTCACTTTAATCTGAAGGAAGTCATCAATCAATCAAACTGAAGGCCCATGGGCCAAATCTGGCCCTCGTTAACACTTTTTCTGGCCCAATAAGTAAAACGTTAAAGTACCTGTGACATGCCTGTCATTAAAAAACAAAAAGTCAAAGAAATCATTTTTATACTGAATAAAATTTGCATAAAACACATAATTTTACCCATTTTGTCACATAACTGTCCTATTTCCTTTTGATTTTGGCTCAGCCAAAGTGAAACAGGAAGTGACATCAAAGGGGAACTCATTAATAAAATAAACTCTCTGGTTTTTGTTTATTAAAACAAAATCATTTAAACTTTAACTCTTCTTTGACTCTCTTTGTTAGACTCAAAATAATCTAAAGAAACATCAGATTCTTCTCTACACTGCAAAAACTGTCCATGTTACCAAGTTTTAAACCTTATATCAGCCAAAAAGTCTTTTTGATCTTGTTTTCAGACTGATTTACTAAACAAGAACTGATTGTGTAAGAATAATCATCTTGTTTTCAGAATGTGTAAGATTATTTGTCTTGTTAGTCAGAGTCACATTTTCAGACTAAGTCAAAAATTTCTGCCAGTGGAGTAAGAAAATTTTACTTGGTAAGATTCTTAAAATACTTGATTTGACTCAAATTTCTCTTATTGCAAGAATCTTACCAAGTAAAATTTTCTTACTCCATTGGCAGAAATTTTTGACTTAATTTGAGTTAAATTTCTTACTCATTCTGATTATTCTTACACAATCAGTTCTTGTTTAGTAAATCAGTCTGAAAACAAGATCAAAAAGACTTTTTGGCTGATATAAGGTTTAAAACTTGGTGACAGTTTTTGTAATGTGTGGGATTGAACCAGTGTCTGGGATTAAACCAGTGTATGGGATTAAACCAGTGTATGGGATTA